GGGGGGGGGGGAAGAAGAGGAAAAGAATTTCCAACAACTTCCAAACAAAAGGAAGTTTTTCTTCACTCAGTGCACAGTCAACCTGTGGAACTCCTTGCCAAAGGATGTGGTGAAGACTAGGACTTCAACAGGTTTCAAAAGAGCTAGATAGCCATTGATGGGCCTAACCTCCATGAATCTATTAGCCAGGATGGGTAGGAATGGTGTCCCCCGCTTCTATTTGTCTGGTAATGGGTGACAGGAGAGATGTCGTGTGAGGATTACCTGTTGTGTTCCCACCCTCTGGGGCATCTGGTATTGGCCCCTGTCAGCAGACAGGATACTGGACCTTTGGTTTGACCCAGTATGGCCATTCTTATGGTTTTTACAAACCTCACCAAAGTCCATTTTGGACTCCCAAGATAACCACTGTGAAATTTCAGATATAAACATCTGAAATCATAAAATTAACAAATTTTAAAGCCCCCGGCTGTGAAATTAACCAAAATGGACAGTGAATTTGGTAGGGTTCTAGCCATAGGTAGCGATATACATGTGGGAAAAGATCATTTTTAAGCTCTACCAAGATTTTTAGCAGATTACTTTCTAACATACTCAGTAAATTTGTCTGTGCCTTACAAATTGGAAGAGCACACACTCCAGTTATAGCCATGCCAATTGTTACCATTTTTCACTGTGGTCCTATTAAAGTGATATTGGAACGTTAACTTTCCACTCCCTTATCAGCTGAAGAGACTTTGCTCAGAATAGAGACCAAGTATGGAAAATTTCAGCCAAACTTTTCCTAAAATTATGAGTATGAGAAGACAGGATATTACAGCAAAAGCTGTTTTATCTAGCATTCACTAACCGAAAAGCTCTAGAGACTGGCATTTCTGATCTTCATTAAAAATCTAGTTTATAGTCCAGTTGGTGCAGGGCCAGATGCTTCTGCCTACAGGCCCTTACTCCCACAGCTCCTTGTCATTGGGAGCTAGAGTCAGCACTTGGGATGGGATAGAGTGCCTCCACCTAGAAGCAGCCAGGACAGGGCAATTGTGATGAGATGCCTGAGGTGAGTGTCCCTCCAAATCCAGTGTCAAACCCCTTCTGTACCCTAAACTCCCTGCCCTAAGATGCACTCTTCCCCTCCCCCCCTTAGTTAATTGTTATTTCATTTCCTGGAAGCCCTCTTCTCGCAACATGCCAGATAAAAGCTTTTACTGTATAATGGAACCTATTCTACAGTTTGAACTATAGATGTCACAGTAAAATAATCCCATTAATCAGACTTAAGAGTCAGTTCAGAAGGCTTATTTTGTACCGGAGAAAATTGGGATGCAGTATATTCATAAAGATAGTGTTTTGTAAGGCTCTAAAGCAAGCACACATTAACTGATTAGTATGAATGAAATCTTAATCATTTATTGCTACATGCATACAAGTTTTTCATGTTGTGGAAATCACTTGTGTTAATGCTAAACAACAAAGTCTTGTTTTGAATTTGTAGCTACAGTGTTTCTGCCAGTTACGTAGAAGAAAAAAAAAAAAAAAAACGCATAAACTTACCATTTTCTGCTTTGCAGATTTTAAGACTTTTATTTTGTCCTGCGGTTTATCGCTAGCTGCTTTCCCAATTCTGTTACTGCTTTGAAGAAAAGCATAGAGTTAAGAATGGCTAAAAATGGATTTTGAATATATACTATCGTACCAATTCTGTGAGTTAAGCAGGATCTACCATTCATGATTTCTGTAAAACGGCATATTAGTAACTTTGTCCCAAAAAGGATATCTATTTCAGTTTTAATTTACAAATCAAAACCACTGCATAGAAATATTTGATGCTACTAGCAAAAGATACATATACCAATTCCTCTTTCAGAAACAGAGTTAGTAGCTATTATTTTTGCTTTAGAAGCTAGCCCTATAACTGTTCCAATATGATCAGTCTTCCTCCTCCTTTAGTAGTAGCTGATAGAATGATCCAGAGAACACAGAAGGCAACAGCCTTTGATGTAGCAATTTTGTTACCAATTGTTTCAGTAATAAAAAGAGGAACTGTATACATTAAGAGGAAAGCAGGTTAAGGGACTTTACCGAAGTCACACAATTATGAGTGACCTGGGACAATGAGGCTAGTCCAGACTGCTATATTTTCAAAAGAGGATATGCAAATTCCACAGAGTTTGCATATCTTCTTCTGATCTCACTTTTGAAAGAGGATCTTTCGAAAATGAAAAGTAGCCTGGATGCAGTTCCCTCCCCCCCCCAAAAAACACACCCTTTGGGGGGGGGGGGGGGGGTTTTTTTTTTAAATAAAAGGAAAAGGTTTACATGTTTGTTTTAAAAGGGGGTTCCCCCCCCCAAAAAAAAGCTCTGTCCAGACTACTTTCACTTTTGAAGGCAAAGTGAGATTGGAAAAAGTGAGATTGGAAGAAGATATGCAAATTCCCGTAGAATTTACTTATCCTCTTTCAAAAATAGAATGTAGTTTAGATGTACCCTGACACAGAAATCTGGAATTCAAGTCTTAATAAGATGGCAAAGCCTCCCCGTAAAAATAAATCTATGCTGAAATAAAGATTATTTAAATCCATAATTTAAATTGCTAATTGAAATTCTTAAGTGGAAAGCCTTGATTTAAATCATGGATTTTAAATAAACTTTTCCATTTCTACTTCAGTTGTATTCTAAGGAAAGATGCATTCTCATTGGCCAATATAACTAGGACCCTACCAAATTCATGGCCAGGAAAATGCATCAAGGACCATGAAATCTGGTCTTTTGTGTGTTTTTAATCCTATACCAATTTTATGGAGGAGACCAGAGTTTTTCAAATAGGGATATTAAGAAACCAGTAATACACTAATTGTGTAGTTGACAAAAATTTAATTGACTACATGATTAGTCGATAATGGGTAGCACTGCTACCACTAAATCCTGGCTCCTGCTGGGTCCAATAATTACCCCCACTGTGGCTCTGCACTACAAGCACTTGTTGTGCAGAGCCACAGTAGGGGTTAAAGCCAGGTCCCAGCACAAGCCAGGACTGAGCCAGCCTAACCGTGCGCCAGCTCTTTGTGCTGGGACCAGCATCAACTCTCACTGCAGCTCTGTACAAGTACTACCCCCACTGGGGATGATGTTGGGTCCATGCATGAGCCAGCCTGCTCCTGCACTGCACAAGTTCAAAAATTTATTTGCAGAGGGATGGGGAGGAGGAAATGTTGCATGCAGTTGATAGCATTAACTGATAAGCACCACTTATCCGTTAAGTATTTAGTCGAGTTCAGTATTACATCCCTATTTTCAAATTGTGGTACTGACCCCAAAAAAGAAGTTGCAACAGGGGGCAAGGCAAGGTTATTTTAGGGGGAATTGTGGAATTGCTACCCCTCTGCAATGCCCTCAGAGTTGGGTGGCCAGAGAGTTGAGGTTGTTGGCCAGTCGCTCAGCTCTGAATGCAGTACCCCACCTGTAGCCGCACAGAAGTTGCACTACTGCCTTCAGAGTTGGAGGGCCATAGTGTTGCAGCTGCAGATTGAGGGCCCAGCTCTGCATATAATATCACAGAAGTAAGGGTGGCAATACCATGTCATCATTATTTCTATGCTGCTGGTGGCAACAGCTTTGCCTTTAGAGCTGACCTCCTGGCCAGCAGACACCACTCTCTGGCCACCCAGCTCTAAA